CCTCTGCCCCCCCTTTGGCTCCGTTACTGGCTAATCACTACTAATTGGTAGATGTTCCTTGTATTTCATTGGTGGCTCAGTGAGTTAGACGCTTGCTAGCTAACCTGAAGTTCCATACCTTCAGACTAGTTTGCATCTAGCCGTTCGAAAGGGACAGATGTGTGCTATGGTAAAAATCCCATGACAGCTGGAAATTGAACAATAGCAGGCTAATGCCACTGTCCTGGTCACTGCACGTTGCATTGTGTTGCCTGTTTTCATTACCCAAATGGTGCAGAAAAGTAGGACGTAGAACTCAATTTCATTTCATCCAATTTGCAACTAAGTGAGTGAAAGTGTCAAATGTAACGTTAAATATCTCAAAGGACCAAAGTCTTGAATATCTAACTAAATAGTTGAAAGTCTTAATGATCTGATATTAATTTAGGGTGTAAGTGTTATGGATGATCAAGGTACAGTAACAACATTACCTGATGGTACAGAGTTTATTCCTCGACCTTTAGCAGACCAAGATAGACAGTCACATACTTCAGCTTCTAGTTCTTCTAGAAGTCTTACTAGTAAGTAATATACCAATAAACACTCATTTATTTTTCAGGTAGAAGTATTATTTATTATTTCTTCTGTTGATAGATTTGTATATTCACTAATGGTAGAACAATAGGAGTAAAATAGAAGTGAATTAACTTATCAAGACATTAATTTTTGATTTACATGATTGTTGATACGCTATAAATTAGTAAAGAAATTTCATGATGCCTGCTCACCAAATTTCATTTACTAGGAGGAAATGATAATAATAATAATTTTGAGTAATGATATATTTTAGTGACGTATAATAAACTACCAGATGCTAATATATCAGAAAGTGTAACCTATATAGATGCTATCAGTTATTTCTGTGATATGATGGTAGAAAAAGAACTACAGGCTATAAGAAGAGGACAAAGTGCTCAACCAGCAACCAAATCAACTGAAAAACTTGCTCAAAATAAAAATACAGTGTTAGTTTTACCACGGATACCAAGGTAATGTTGCCAAACTTTGACAATTTGACTAAAACATCCATTATTTTGAAAATGAAATGGTAACACCATATTCTTAACCATGAACCATAACACTTAACCTTGTAAATTGAAAAAAAACATTTGTGGAAATGTTCATTAATAGTTGAGGAGTTTGAATATCTAATCCCATTTTTCTGTTTTGGCAGAAAAGAATATCTCAACCATTCTGCTATAATGAAGTATTTTAAGAGATTATTTACAATTTGTAACACAGATACCTCTTTAGCAAAGTTTATTTGAATTGAGAAAACACTCAACTAAAACCACATGTCCATGATTATACTTAGTAGGTTTGATAAGGAAAAGTCTTTTTGTATTTCAGAAAACAAGCTTTAGTAAGACTTGGTGAAACACATACATTATCTAGTAAACAGAGGAAAGATAAAAATAGTAAGATATAAACTTTTCTAGTTTGATTCCATTAAGCCTAGGGTTCTCCTGAAAGTCAACATAACCTTACTGTAGAAATTCAAGAGCTTTATTTACATTCTCATTACTGACATCTTGATGTAATTGGTCATAAAACTATTTGTGAGTCCAAAACACACTATGTTTAAACTGATGTGCAACAGAACCGAATATCAGATTTACAGATAGTGAATTCAAGCTTTATCAGCTGGTAAGGAAAATATTTAAATGACTTTATCAAAAGACTAAAAATTATTAAATTGGTGATTACACGCATGTTTAAGGACTATTTTAATAGAAATGAGAAATTATTATAATTGTGGATATGTCTAATGTATTCTTATATTTCTTATATTACAGAATACTGTTTACCTAGTGTATTGACTAGAGGAAGACATCAAATACCAGGTGATATTACTGGCTTTGTTCCAGCTATTAATCTACCATTAAAAACAGTCTATATGAATCCATTCCCAAATCCTTTAGATGCATATGATGCACGGTTCCAAGAACCAGTTTTAATAACATTGAAATCTGAACAGAAATTTTTTATTCAAACTAATTCTATAGTGCCTATTGAATATGCTGCCGCACCTAGTAGCTAGTTTCAATACAGTACTGAGTCAACTTCATGATTATTATCTAGCTGTGTATAGAAGGAACTGTGATATTTTGTGATAAGGAAAATATATTTATTGTATCTTAAATGAATAAAATGACAACTATTTTAAAGAAAATGACTCATTATTTGCCAAAAAAAAAAGATCAGGATTTCCTTGTGAATGCTCTATGATAAATTTATTGAAAGTTGGTTAATTCTAAGAAAGTCCCTTTCATTGTGCACTTAATAGCATTATTGAAGGTATTGACATAGTAGATTTGTAAGAATGACTATATAGTTAGTAGGTATTTACCTATGGAGTTACCAAGATGACATGATGTGAATGAAGATGTAAGAAATACTTGAGTCTATTGTTCAATTTATCATTTAACTATACAACATCCTTATTATTAATGACCGTAAAACTCTCACAATTTCTCAAAATACCTGGACCTACCTGTTCCTGGGACGATTTCTCACTGTTAGTGCCAGACTCAAAAGGTCACACATTATGAGAGTTGCCCATACCATATCTATTTTTTGTTCGCTTGTTTTTAAGAATTTTCACCAGGAAAAAGCCAAAGTTGCCAAAACATTTGTTATGGATACAATAATGAATCCATCAAGACATTTCCTGATATTCCGCCATGTTCCAGTGCCTCTCCCGGTACCATTGTGCAGTCCATACTTCCATATATCTTGTCTGAGGAACATGAGGAGGGTAGGACTAATCAAACCTGTCCATCTCTTCTTCCTTTAATTGCACTGAAACAATTGGAATATGATCACATATATTTCCGAGAGTTAATACTGGTAATCTGTGGTCAAGTCCTTGGCCTTAGCTTACACTTGACAATTTTTTACTTCTTTACTGCTGGTTCGACTGGAAGAATGGTGGAATATCATGAGTGACTTTTGGTACGCTATCTTCATACTGACTACTCTATACTCAAAGATTGGAATTTCCCATGTAAGACAGCATTAGTATAAGCTCCTCTCAAAGAAACGTTAACAGAATTTGAACGTGTCTCTTAATATTTTTACAATTTTTTCTCTTTTTACTTGAAACAGTTGCAGCGCCAGTCTCCGTGGGATTGGGGAAAGGCCGAATACATGGGGGCAACTGTCGAGGTTGAATTCAAAATGCGGCAGCTCCTATGGAGGGCCATAGACACAAGCCTCCCCGGAAGCATCTGAGATGTTCTGAAAAATATAATTGATTCGGTGCATTCTGAAACATATTTTGGGACAAAAACATATTAACAAAAAAATATTTTTAATCATCAATTAAATTTTCAAATTAGTGGGTCAGGCAGGGTTAGCAGACATTTGTGCATATTTCCAGTGCTCTCGCAATTGCATGTCAACATTTGACAGATATCTTTTGTTATTTAGATTCGTGAATGCAACAATAGATCCGTGTAAGTGTAACCGGATTAACGACATGCCCACAAATGTTATTACTCTGATCTTTTACCCCTAAGTAAATAAGGAGTAGCTATAGAACGTCATCCCCTCTCTATATATTGTTGATCTATTTAAAAACTGTTATTTGTTATATCAACAATCAGCGATTTCACCATGGTATTCGCTTCTTCACTTCTACAGGGAGAGTCACCGGACAGATGCTTGCAAAAATAAAACTTTTTTGGAACAAAACCCAAGGAGTGAATATCCTACAACCGGCAGTGTCGGAGAAAAAGAGGGGCAGTCGCCCCCTCGCAGCAAGTTTTTCGGGTAGAAGTCTCATAACTATACTAGAAATCCCAGAAATTTCTAACTGGATGCCATAAAGATGTTCGAATGACATGGATATTGTTTTCCATAAAAAGTGTTCATTTGACATGCTGTGTGTTGATCATAAAAGTGTTTATCTGACACACTGTCTGTTGACCATAAAAGTGTACATCTGACATTTTGTCTGTTTGCTATAGTTGTTCATCTAACAAGCTGTCTGTTTGCTAAAATAATTAATTTGATAAGCTGGCATTCTAACTGGATGCCATAAAGATGTTCGAGTGACATGCAGTTTGTTTTCCATAAAAGTTCTTATCTGACACGCTGTCTGTTAAACCTAAAAGAGTCCATTTGACATCCTGTGTGTTGATCATACAATTGTTCATCAGACATGCTGTGTGTTGATCTTTAAAGTGTTCATCAGACATGCTGTCTGTTGACCCTAAAAGTGTTCATCCGACATGCTTTCTATTGAACCTAAAAGTATTCATCTGACATGCTGTGTGTTGATCATTAAAGTGTTCATCAGACATGCTGTCTGTTGACCATAAAAGTGTTCATCCGACATGCTTTCTATTGAACCTAAAAGTATTCATCTGACATGCTGTGTGTTGATCATTAAAGTGTTCATCAGACATGCTGTCTGTTGACCATAAAAGTGTTCATCCGACATGCTTTCTATTGAACCTAAAAGTATTCATCTGACATGCTGTGTGTTGATCTTTAAAGTGTTCATCAGACATGCTGTCTGTTGACCATAAAAGTGTTCATCCGACATGCTTTCTATTGAACCTAAAAGTATTCATCTGACATGCTGTGTGTTGATCATTAAAGTGTTCATCAGACATGCTGTCTGTTTATCCATAAAAGTGTTCATCCCACATGCTGTTTGTTGAACCTAAAAGTGTTCATTTAATATGCTGTTTGATGATCATAGAAATGTTCATCTGACATGTTGTCTGTTTGCTATAGTTGTTCATCTGACAAGCTGTCTGTTTACTAAAGTTGTTTATCTGACAAGCTGTCCTATGTTGTTTATCTGACACTGTGTTGGATTGCTATAGCTGTTCATCTGACAAACTGTCTGTTTGCTATAGCTGTTAATCTGACAAGCTGTCTATTTGCTTTAGTTGTTCATCTGACAAGCTGTCTGTTTGCCATAAAGTTGTTCATCCGTCATGCCGAATGATAGATTCATTTTAAGTGGCAGAATTCGTAAAATCTAAAATTGATAAATCTTATAATTTGGTGTTCATCCAAAATGCCTGTTTACTATTCAGTCTGTTTACCACGCACTGCCTTAAAAATGGATGGCATCTTGTTACATTTAAAGTGTTCATCTGCACTGCCGCCTGTTACCATTAAACCTTTCCATCCGTAATGTTGTCAGTTTCATGAATTCCATCATTTTGTATGATAACTACTAAAGTGCAGTTCATTCGTTAAGTCCTCCCTTTACCATTAAAGTGTTAGTACGTCATACTGATCTGCTAACCACTGGAGTGCCAATCTGACATGTTACGAAATACTAACTAAATGCGATTCTAGTTTCATCTTATTGGCCAATCACTAAAGTTGACTTTAAGTTAATTTTTATCAACCATCAAAATCTGGGTATTAACTGTGTCATTAAAGCACCAATGCTGTCTATTTACCAACATAAAAATACCTGTTGTATCTTTGTCACCATAACGAAACGAGAAAACTGGTGAAAATATAGAAAAAATAAATACAGGCGATATGAAGTATTTGCTTACTTTAGTAACTATAATCGACTTTAAGAAGAGTTGAATAAAAAGTTTTGACTATGTCAATACTATTGAACTAGTATAATCGCAATTCAATTGTATCTCATTCGTTCAAGGTATAAACAAGGACTTCCAGTTTGTATGAAAGAGAACAATAAGATGGGTAAAAAGATGGGTACACACCTTCAACTTCTTTTATGTGAGTCAGCTGACGCTTAACATACGTTACTAGCATAACGTTTTAAACTCTCAACATATCTATATTTCTATCAGTCTGTACGTTGTCTGGAAAGGTGAGACTAGAAATGAAATCTTTTGTCTCGCCATGTGTGTTTACTGTGTTCTTCTTATTGCTGGGCGTGTTGGGCTACTCAGTCAGCCCAGCAAATGGGTATTACTATAATCAAAATCAAGGTGGTAACCCATACAGCAATGTATATCAAACAGGCAGTCCGGAAAGAGTATTTAGAGAAATTTCTTACAAATTATGGTTTTTTTGGATTAACACCAACCTAGCTTCTTTTACCCAAAGTTGTGATACATTCCAAAGTTATGTTTTATCTCAATCATTTCGGAAAAACACATTGTCGAATTGTAAGTATATTTTCCTCCATACTTCGTTTTAACTTTCTAGTTCTTGGCATAATGACATTGTTTAAATTTGAAGTGTATAACCAACTGATATATATCATAGAAATCTTTACCGGCCGAAATGAATTCTGTTTGACCATTGCATGTGGCGAAATTTTTTTTTCACTGTACAGTGTATATGTCTGATAGGAATTGTCGTACATCCCGCGTTACCAAATGACAGATCTGAAATCCGTGATTTGCATGGTAATGACGTTTACAGATAAAAGGTTAATGGCATTGAAACTTAATCTGTCCGACTCTTCCGTCAGTTAAATCTCTAAATAAACAGGTGATAGAGCAAGCTGAAAATAACTTCCGTTTAGCTTTTATGTAGTTTTTAATTATACTCGAATAATAAACACAAACTTGGTTTGTTAAGTTTTAAGGAAAGTATTAAGAGACAGGCCTCTATAATTGAAATGTTTGATATCTACCACAAAAAAACGTCAGATATATACTTTAATTTCAGATTGCAACTTTCTCAGTGATACTTGTGGAAAAGCAACTAGTGCTGTTTCCAGCTCCGACTGTTTTGTTAGAACCATAGCCATTGCCTTAAGTGCAACGTGTTGTCAAGGTAAGACAAAGTAAAAATTCTGAGTCAAAACAATTGAACTTGTGAGAATTTGAACAAAAACCATCTCAAAATAACCAATAATACGTTCGAATTTTTACAATTTGAGAAATGTATTTTCTTGTAGTAACAATTCTACAAATGTTTTTCCACAAATCGATATAATGCAGTTTGGTTGTTTTGCTTTGCATTTTGTCATTTTGCAACAAAATTGATATTTTTATCGAAACTACTCCACAATATATTGCACGAATGATACTCTGAAAATGAGAAAATTATACAGTGAACTCCTACTGCTATCTCCTACAAAATAATGTTGAATGTAAAAGTAACTCTTTTTATATTCCAGAAGTAACGGTAACAACCAAAAACACAAAACCACCAACAGACACAACTACCAGAACAACGACGACAACAACAACAACGACAACAACTACCACTACTCAACCACCTATTCAAAGTTAGTACGTATGATTTGGGTAAATGAAAAAAAAGTCAAAACGAAACAATGTAAAGTTTGTAACATACAATACTGTCCGAATTATCATTTGATATCGTTTCGGTCTTTGAATGGTCTTGGAATAATATTGCAGAAATGTTTCATTATGCTTACGCTCAAATTTTGTTCCCAAAATGGTGTACAATTAAGAATATGAATATTCTGAATTTGGCATACAGTCATTATCTTAATTTGTCATCTCCGAATTTATTGTACATGAATGATATTATGCACAAAAAAAGAACAATTGTTTGGTGTGTCGGGTTTGAATTTTTTTCTATTGGAAGTTTTTATGAGTTCTACTTGTTGAACAATGTTACTAATGCAATTTACGATGCGTCATGTTTGTACAATTATGTATGATGTTCGATATACATATAATGTAGATACATTGGGTAAAGTTTTATTCGTATCTGTGTCATGTAGTAGTATAAAGTTTGTGGAAGTATATTTCATCATACAATTTCAGCACGTTTTATCGTGTTTTGTAATAACATCAGGCTGAACGTGTTCAGATTGTACACATTAATTTTGTGTCGTATCATTAATGTTGACGTCTGATGTACCATGTAGTACATGATGTACGACGTCGTATACACACAGCTTCGTCTCCGAAACTATAATCTTTGAATGACATCCTATTCATTTCAATTCCAATTTATTTGTGGGCTAGAACTACATGTATTTTTTTGTACTATGATTATGATAGAATAGTGTTGTAATTTGATTCTAGCACATTAATGTAACGATATATTGCATTGCAATAAGTCTTCAGTATTGTCTCATTACTTTCGCTGGGAGCGGCGGTGGCTCAGAGAGTTAGACGCTTGCTCGCTAACCTGAAGGTCCAGGGTTCAATCCCGGCATAGGTCGATAATTCCCCCTGTCAGTGATGCAGGTACGAGGGGCTGACATGGAAAAAACGTCTAGTCGTTCGAATGGGACAATAAACCGAGGCCCCGTGTGCTACAGGCTGTGCACGTTAAAGATCCCTCAACAGTTGGAAATCGAAAAAGAACAGGCTAATGCCGCTGTCCTGGCAAAATTTCCCTCATTGCACCCTACATGGCGTCGCCTGTCTTCATTATAGCCCACATGGTGCAGAAAAGTAGGACGTAAAACTCCATTCATTTAATTTCATTTCATTACTTTGCTAGTAATTAGCATATAGGCGGGCTATCATTATACTAATGTGAAAATGAACATTAACTTACTTTGGCGTAAATTATTATTTTAAATTCTAAAAATTTGCAGAGGTAAATGCATTATTTCAAATAACATGCATAAGATTATATTTCGTTGATTAATCATTAATCTTTTGAAGCTGATAATCCCGTTCACACAAAAAAAAAAAAACGCTTAAATATGTTTCACCGATCAGACAATAGATCTTTCAAAGCTATTTTTTATCTTTTAACTTCAAGGTTGTGGATCAGCCTCAACGGCAATAGCTAAAATAGTTGGAGGAACCAACACATCAGAATGTGAACTACCATGGGTTGTTGGTATCAGACGTAATGGTGTATTTATTTGTGGTGGTGCTATTGTCAGTAAATATCACATAATTACGGCTGCACATTGTGTCAGGTAAATATTTTATTGGTAAACCTAATTCATTTTAGAAAATTTTAATAGTAAAAATGTACGTAGCCTAGTGTGGACATTTGTGGTTGTTTTTCATCCTATGGTATTTATCTGTAAATTCTCACTATCGTCAACTGCACATCAAATTATTTGTTATTTTTCAAGTTCCGAGAATACGTATAGCGTTGAAATCTCTAAATGGGGGACAAATAGTGTACAAGATAGATTTTGGCAACTTATTCCAGTTACAAAAAAGGTTATTTTTCCAGCTTTCGACTCCATTCGATTACGTAAGTTGCCGTCTATTGATGACCGAATTCTCTTTGAAATAGTAAACTTGGATAAAAAGTAATTATGGCAAATTACTATAAATGACAGGCCATGTCAGCAATTTATAGGTAAATAGTTAAACATTCAATTCCTGATATAATTGGATTAGAATAAGAGCGATTATCAAAAGGAGGGACATAAAATTTAACTAAAGAAATCTCACGAGGGCCAGTAGATATGACTGTTGTGTGACCTATTATGATTTTTGTTTTCATTTAGTCAATGATATAGCAGTTCTTACTTTACAAAGACCAGTTTCCTTCGGTCAATGTGTTCAACCTATTTGCGTGCCAGAAAGTTTCGAAACACCACAAACTGAAAAATGTATTGCAGCAGGATGGGGAACTCTACGCCGTAAGTTTATGATTTATGTTAAATTTATGTTGATGTCTCGCAAAATAATGGGGATACTAATATCCATTTCTTGTTGAATTTGTTTTTTTTTTATACGCCCACAAATATATTTTTGCGGTCACATTTGGCTCGTGGTCACTCTACGTGCTACAATTATTAATAGATTTTTTTGATTTTGTAGGTCAATGTCATTATGAAGATGATCCGTATCGATTTTCGTGATGATCTGATAATTTTTCACCGAAATATCGTGTGCGACTTAGCGTTTTCGTCTATTAACTGTATTGAGCAACTCGTGCTCACTCTACAGGCAAAATTCGTTATGGATTCTTTTGCGTTTTAATTTGTTGTCAATGTCATCATGATGATCATCCCTATCGATTTTCGTGATCATCTGATAATTCTTCCTTGAAATATAGTGTCCGACTTAGCGTTTTTACTCTATTAGCTATATTGTGTAACTCGTGCTCGATCTACTGGCAACAGTTCTTTTGATTTTTATATGCCCACATGTGGTATGATGTCTTCACCCGGTCTGTCAGACTGCCCATTCATAATTGGCATGAGAACACTACAGACTACATTTCTTGATGTATTCTTTTGTTTGTTCTTAAATATATCGAATTTCGCCATAACATTGATATATATGGGTAAAGATTTGATTTAATGTTTTGCAGTGTGTTCAATATTCACAATTCTATAATTTTGTTTACACAATCTACTGTCTATTTTGCAAGAATCAAGACATGCATTAAAACCTAGCCATGATGCGATACAATAAAGTCTGCTTAAAATTCTCTATAGACTAAACGTTAAACAAATGTGAATGGACAACAAACAATGATTTGTACTTGCAATCAAAGCTGCTGGTGGGTGTATGTCATCTTGCTTCGCAAGATTATCTGTCTTGTATTTACAATTTTTAGGTAAAAAAACAGTAAAAAAACCTATAAAATATCGCGACATAGCGTCATATATTAATCGTGCAATCAATTTGAACCAATATCGTCCACCCCATATCCTCCGTACTCAATCTGAACAGTGGCGAATTAACTTTTAACTACCGAGAACGAAATGATACATTTATTGTGAAGCGTGATTTTGTTTCTAATTTCAGTAGGGGGAAGTCAACCAGAAGTACTTCAGAAAGTAGATTTGAAAGTTTATTTATCTGCTGTTTGTGCTGCGAGGTTTAATGAAGCGTCAACAGTTGTAACTCCAGCTGTAATGTGTGCTGACAATGATGGTTTAGGAGGCAAAGACGCTTGTCAGGTATAATGGAGTTTGCACTTTCAAAGACAAAATCACAAGACTGGGCTAATGTCTAAATTTAACTCATTGAACACGTCATTCATGGTCATGAATTCAGTTCATTTTACTTCATTTCAGGGTGATTCTGGAGGACCACTTATGTGTGTTGTGAATGGAAAGTATTCATTGATGGGAATAGTATCAAGTGGTAGAGGTTGCGCTGATGCAGGACAAGCGGGATTCTACACTTTTGTTCCATATTTCCGAGATTGGCTCAACGCTCAAATATTTTAATAAACATGAAAAGTATCTTTTTCTTTTCTCATAACATTATCTATTTAAAGATTGTCACATTTAATGTGATGCCCAATGCCATCTGGTAGGACTCAATATCAGCAACAACTAAAAATCTAGATCGTGTCCCTGCCCTGTGTTACGAAACTGGAGTGAAAGTTGGGTCTTTTTCACTACTGAAATGGACGAAAAGGAAAAGTAGGGCTCTAAAACCGTTATTTGAGTTCAAATATTGGCAATTTCCTCACAGTATGAGAATGGTATAGTACACAAATGTTTCTCTTACCAGGTTAAGTCTAGTTTTTTGGAAAATCAGCAAAAATGACCCTTGAAATACGTATTTGTCATGAAATTACAAACACAAGATTTATCTCAAGTCAAAACCAGGTAAAGATAAAGAGTTGTCTGTGAACCACCTTGACACGTTTAAATGATTCATACAAGCGCTATTCCGATGTTAAATTGAAATCAGAATAAAATTCCAATGAGAATCACCGTGGTTTTTTTTTTAAAAGAAAGTAACTGGTTTTGGTTAGGTCATAGATAAGTTTATTTTGCAGAATAATATTTATGTGTGAATTAATAAATACAATACAAGGAAATATAATTATATTAACAATAAATAGGATATGTTACGACTTTTTATCAATACATAATACATATATAATGCTATCATTTCTCAAGAATTAAAAGTTTTGAATTTTATTACTAAGTAAATTTTCCAACTTGTTGACAGTCTGTATCTGGTTTAATGAATTTTTTATGACCAGAAGGGCCAAAAATAATAATATAAGAAAGCTTGTCAGGCAAGGTAACATACGCCCACTACAAGCTGTCAGAAATAATCTGTAGTTTCTAATTTTGAAGCATTTAATCTAAGTCAAGGGCTATAACTCAAAAATCGTTCATCAAAAAATCATCAAGTTCAAACTTGTCCAAGATCTCATCAATGTAAATGATCACACCAAATTTCATTAAAATCAGTTGAAAACTGTAGTCCCTATTGCTTTCACAACCAAATTTTGACACGTTTTTTCTAAGTCAAGGGCAATAACTCAAAACCGTTCATCGAAAAATCGTCAAATTCGATTTTGACTAGGATCTCATCAATGTAAATGATCACACCTAGTTTCATTAAAATCAGATAAACACTGTAGTCTCTATTGTGTTCACAAGAAATGTTGACGGACAGGAGCGTCAGAAATAGGCCTATACGTCCACATTATAGAAATGTGAATAAAAAACACGTTTTTACTGAGACAAGGGCAACAATTCGAAAAACATTCATCAAAAAATTGTCAAATTCTAACTTGACCAAGATCTCATGAATATATATAAAAAAAATTTCATTCAAATTGAATAAAAACTGTAGTCTTTATTGCGCTCACAAACAAATTAAGATGCGTTTATACTAAACCAAAGGCAATAATTCAAAAAACAGTTCATCGAAAAATCGTCAAATTCGAACTTGACCAAGATCTCATGAAAATAAAGCTCACAAACAAATTTGGACGTGTCTCATGAATATAAATCAGCATACCAAATTCCATTCAAATCGAATGAAAACTGTGGTCTCTATTGCGCTCACACATTTTTACTTATTCAAGGGCAATAATTCATCAAATTCGAACTGACCATGCTATTTTTGAAAACATGTTTCAGTTACATGACACAGAATTCAATGAGCCTTTCAGGTTTCATCAATCTGTGATCAAAACTGTCTCACCAATACCAAGTTTCATCAAATTGAGATGATAACTCCTGCGTTTATCACAACAACAACAAACTGATTTTTGATAGGCTTTGAGAAAATGAAGAGCAATAACTCTTTGTGAATATATTGTCAATGATGAAAAACTCCACATAATCATACTAAGTTTCAGCCAAAATCATAAGAAAACCCTTTCTTCTATGTTTCTTTTCTTTCTTACCTTGCTTTCAAGGTGATTGTCACACATTTTTCGGCAAGTCAAGGGCAATAACTCAAATAGTCTGCTTGAAATTCATCTGTTAGCACATCAATTCACAGAATCAGCACACTAAATATCGGACAAATGCAATGAAAAATCTACCTTCTATCATCATAATAACTTTGTAAAGGATAATAACTTCATTGAAAATTCAAATTGCATTCCGAGTTACATTAAAACTGGGTGAAAATTATAGCTTCTATCCCACTTACTAGAAATTTTGATAGACAGATAACTAACTACATTTTCAAGAGGGCCTACGTTATCCAGAGGGCACATAAACATACAGTGATCTTCCTGTTTTTTTTTTTAACTTGTCTCCTTTGTTAAGTCACTCAACAGAACATTCTTAATACTGCTTTTAGTTAAACCAGTAGAATAGCACATAAAATAATTGAATACTGTCTCATGTTTGGTAAGAAATAAAGTAAGACATCACTATACTTATGAGTCCATTGTTGATCTTCTAGTTCTTTTAGCTGGTGATTGTGCATCAATATCTTCTTTTCTTTTCATACTTCTAAAAAATAAATCATTAAAATATAAAGGTATCAGGGAGTTTTATCAATCTCTCAGTTGCATTGGATGCCAGGGTTGATAAATAAATATAGCTGTGAAGCGAAGTGATCTTATATAGCAAATCACCAATTACCTTGATCCTGTTAAACAATCTAGTTAAGGATTGCTATAAATCAAATGATTCAATAAAATATTTCATAAGGACACAATTATGAAAATGTCAAGTACCAGAGCTGAGGCAATCACATCCAAACAAGTTGAAGAGTTTTACCTGGTTTGTCTGTTCGGTGAAACAGGAAATGAATTTTTATCAGTTGCTAGAGTTGAGTGAATACCAGCTCCCTGAGAAGCTATATCAGTTAATGGTTGTGTATCTGGAATAATATCTTGCTGACTTCCGTGTACTAAATATTGGGATGAAGATACATCATCACCATCTACAGGATTTGGATCTTCTGTATTTTCTCTTGTGAAGGAATTAATCTCTGTATCATTTAACGCTTCAATGAATTCTTCCTGTTCAAATACAGCTGTTTCAGTATCAACAGATTCAACAGAATGAAGAGAGTTGTCTACATTTTCCTGGTTTGCTGCTTGTTCATCAGAATGATCAAATTCTTCAGGATTATCAGACTGTATATTCTGATTCAATGATTGTTCTGTAGTTTGATAAGACTGTACCAAAGACTGAGGTATTACATTGGAATGTGCTGAATAGTTTTTATTATTTTCATCTATTTCAGCTTCAAATTCAGCTTGTGTCCCAGCTTCTTTAGTCTGAAATAAATTTTCTTACAATTTACTAACTGTCTTAGTTCTTGTAATGAAGTTGTTTAGGTTACTGTTCTAATGAATAATCATGTTCAGTTACCAAGAATCTTTTACTGCAATCTTGGTAAACAAACATCTGAATGTGGAAGCTCTTAAGATGTGCAATTGTTTCCAATTCCAAACATCATTGAATCTTACAGGTGAGTTTTTATTACATTAAGACCTACAAACAACCTACTACCAATAATTTTTGCATTGAATTAAAATATCAATATGCTTATTTCAACTGTAAAATTACCAAACCTTATATTTCTAGGGACCTGTTCAAGTAAAATGAAATGAATGGAGTTTTACATCCTCCTTTTCTGTACCATGTTAGGGACCTGTTCAAGACATTCTTTGAGATTGAAAATAGTATTTAGAATTTTTATGACATGACAGAAAAACTTAATTCAGAGATCAATGTCAGTAATAAAACTAAATGGAGCCCTACCTCATCAATTACGTGATTAGTAGAATCAATAGATGATATAACCAAGGCTGATGCTTCATCTTCTGATTTTACTTCATGTTGTAATATTATTTGTGAGACATCTGGCTTCAGTTCAATCGTTTCATCATCATCTTGAATATGAGCTGCTTGAAAATTATGTAATTTGTGGGTCACTTCCTCTACTGTACCATCAGGGTGCACAATAACTACCTGTTGAGCATTGCCCAATTTACCATCCCTCCATTCTTGCATCAAATTTTTCTCCAAGATGTTTTGTGTTATTAGTTCATTATTTACATCTGTTGTTTCTGTTTCTGTAGAATTTTCAGATTGGTTAATGCTTGGAGGAACTAGTGAAATATATTGGCTTGTTACTGTATGACAATCTTCTTTTTCAGTGGTTTCACCAGCTGAATGGTGAAGACTTTGGTGTCTTTTCAGTAATTGCTTTTGCCTGAAAGAATGATCGCAAGATTCACATTCATAAGGCTTTTCCCCAGAATGAATAAGTTGATGGGTTTCAAGATGACGTTGAGAAATGGCTGCATGTCCACATATATCACACTTAAAGCATTTTTCACCTTCATGAGATTTTAGATGGATCTTATATGTGTATCTATCTGGAAAGGTCTGATTACATTTTCTACACAAAAGAGGGTGTTCGCTGTTGTGAAGTTTTTGCACATGGATCTTCAAATCTGTTCTTCTTCCACATGTAGTAGGACAAAATTCACATTGAAAAATAGGTTTTGTTCCAGTATGAATTAGTTTATGTGCCTTCAGACTGTTACTCTGTGTAAATCTAGCATGACACACCATGCATTCATAAGGTTTTTCACCAGTATGAATACGAAGATGTCTCTTAAGTTTATATGTGTCTGGAGACGCATACGTGCAATGTGGACATTGATAAGGTCTTTCACCAGTATGAGACCTCATATGTCGCTTCAATTTGCTCAATTCTACACTAGCATATTCACAGAGTGTACATTTGTGAGGCTTTTCAAAGGTGTGTTTGTATCGCACATGTCGAACCAATTCTCCAGAGGTGGTGAATGCTGACTCACATAGCTTACATTTATGAGGTCTGACTCCTGTATGGGTATTGACATGATTGGTAAGAGATGCAAGTGTTTTGAAACCTCTACCACAAATATGACATTTGTGAGGACGGTCTTCAGAGTGAGTTTTCATGTGTCTGGTAAGCAAGTATCTTTTAGGACTGGTGTAGTTACAATATGAACACATCATTTGACCACCAACACCACTTACAAATGCTGTTTTTGGTGTTATTCTTAAGATTCTTCTTGTTTTCCCATCTTCTTCAACCAATTCTTCAGTAACCTCTCTATCTTCCTCCTTAAATTCATAGCCAGACAGATCAAGAGATAAAGCTTTACCATCAACAATATTTTCACCATCTGGAGAACCCATTATCAATACATAACTTACTTCGCCACCAGGACCTGTTTCAGAAGGTACAAGTGTTACTGTTTGAAATGCATTGTTTGGGTTGGCCATTAGAGTCTGGTTTATATTTGCCACTTCACCCCCTCCAATAATTTGTACAGCCTCTGTTGATGAACCATCAGCATTTTGGACAGCTACAAGTTGAGGTTGAGAACTATCAGCTGAATTTTGAATGGCCACAAGTTGTGGGTTATTTGCATCAGCCTGATTCAAAGTTACTGTTTGTATCTGGCTTACACTGGATGTATTTGCAGCAACAGAGGCTAATACAGCTACTGGGTCAGCTCCATCAAGAGTTGTTTCTCCACCATCTCCTTTCTCATCCATAACGTGTGTCAACACATCTGTAGTAACTTCTGATCCTTGTTGTAACTGATCTTCATTAATAATGTGCATCTGTCCATCATTACCAATGGAGACAATTCTCAGAACATTACCCTCAGCATCATTCAATGTTGCCAAATCATTTGGATTGAATGCTTGAATTGGAAGATCTTCTTCATTAAGAGAAGTTGCAGAAATGGTAGCTCTTTGAGATATGAGAGATGCAACATGAATTCCTTGTTCTTGAGTTTCAGATTGAGCAGTTACAGCTACAGAAACTCGATTCTCATTCTCATCTTGGATGGATGCTCCAAGAATATTTTGTTCTGTGTAAAATCCAGCAAATGTCTGTTTAGTGGACCCCTCTACAATTGCCTGAGAATCTGAGGATATGTTTGAAGTTGATGGTGTGACATAAAGTTGTTGATTTTGTTGATCAATAACTGACTGAACTAAGATTGACGGTTGATCTTCTATTTCTTTGTTAAATGATACTAATAGGCTTTGGAGTTCATTCAAATTTTGTGGATTCTGTGCAGTTGTATCATCACCTGTTACCTCCATTTTAATCAGCCAAATCCATCTGAAATAAAAAAAAGTAAGCATAAAATAATTACTTAATCTTCTCTATAAACAAAGTTGGTCATGGGATCTATTAACAAGTGGTTGCCTAGCAAGTTACGCCCACTTTCAGTATTTCAAGGGCGTTTGCTAATCTGTGTCAAATCGTACTTAAAATCTAATTTGTCATAGATATTGTTGATCTAAAAAAAAAAAACCTATCACGTTCACAAGCCAACAAATTTTGACCCAAGGGAATTAACTCTTCCATTGAAAAATCGTCAAATTAAAACTTAACCAAAATCTCATTGTAATAGATGAAAACTGTGGTCTCTCTATAGCGTTCACATCTTTTAATTGTACATTGATTTGTCAATATTTGCTACCCATAACACTATAAAATCATTCTTGATTATTTTTTCATCCAATGTAAATACGGGTGGGGGGCCTTTTGAATGAACTTTATATGCTTATTTAAGATTTTAAAAAAGGCTTAAGAATTTAAAAGAAATATGGATATGGATTTTTAGTAATATCTTATCACTAGAAATAAAACTGTCATGTGACAAAGCAGCATATGCAATGTTTCTTTTGAACAATCACCATGAAAACCAATGGAAACTTGAACAATGTTTTTTGTTTTCTACAGATAAAAATCCTTTGTTCCTACCAGTAATTAATAATTTTGTCCCAATCTGTCATCAATTTTTTGCTTTGAAGTGTGTAAGCTTACAAGTTAGAAATTTTGAAAAACAAGGACAGTAACTCAATTATAAAAAGCTTATATTTTTGATAGGGTTCCCCCTTGATAATTTATTAATAATTATTAAACTATTTCAGTTTCATTTCGATCTATTAATAATGTGCCTTCTACAATGATCATTAGCTCAAAATTGAAAGCATTTAAAGACAAGTGCAATAACTATCATTATGGAATTTTTTGTTTGAAGTATGATTGAAGGGATTTTGCAATTTTCATGCAGTTCTATCAGTTCTGACATTCTATTTACATATATTCAAGACTTAATTGCACCCCCACAAATGGTAAACATTGGCCTTATAGAGTTCATCCTTGGTAGAAAACTAATATTTTCAAAAACGAATAATTCCACCAAGTTTTGTCAAAATTCTGTCAAGAATTGTGCCTTAAATGGAGACATTGGTGATTCCATAAACTCCAAATTTCATGTGTGGGTTTAAAAAATGACCACATATATCACTTTTTGAGAGGGCAATTAGATTCAGAAACACCCTTTCCCTCCAGAGGTTTCAGACACCAGATTAAGTGCTCATGTTTATACTTTTTTTCCAGGGGTGGCAATCTGTTTTGCATACGGTGGGGACACATCTTTTTGGGGTACTGATTAAAAGGGGCAGGCCCATAGCCAGCTAAGTACTTCTGGGGGAGTCAAATGTCCAATCAAGGGGGGTAGTTTAGGTATCCCCCCTCCCCTCCGGGAAAACTTCATGAATTGTTACGCATTACAGTGGTGCTCTCTATAGAGTTATTGCTATCTTTATTGCTGCCGAGGATGCCCATTGGAAGGTTTCTTTGTTTAGGAACTTTAGAACCACCACAAGAAAGTTTTGAGAATTAGTCGCCTGGAAACACGATTTCCTGACATTTCCCAGCGAATTTAAGGTTCAAGATTATTTGTATAGGATCTGTGGTATGCCACTGAGAATTAGATGAACAGAAACACGATTTCCTGACGAATCTAAGGCTCAGGATTATTTGTCTTACAAAGACTCCCCTTGATTCAGCAAAATTAATTAATGTATTCAAAATAACAGCTGACAATTCTTTTTAGGGGAGGGACGATTGTATTTAGGGCGAATCAACTTTGCCCCAAATCCCCCCCCCCCCCCCCCCTTCCTTGCATACGGGCCTGCAAAGGGGGTAGAGGAGAAGGGGGAATTGCACATATAGTTTTGGGTCAGTTTGTAGGACAAGGGAACTGTTTTTTGAAGATTGAAACCACAGGATCGCCGCCCTTGATTTTTTTACACAGTATTTTGTATACCGGTACTACTTTAAACCAGAATTTAGGGCCTAACTCTTAAAAAAATTGAGCAAATTTTGCATACACCAACAAATAGGCCTATATATACCAATCAATAATATTATTAATAATACAGTTGTAGTAGGAGTAGGACTAGACTAGCCTAGAGTAGTGGTACATGGTACATCATGAAAGTACCTTTTTTCACTTTGACTGCAAGTGTGCTTTGGGCTTGGTCTACTTTTTGTACTTGGCCTTTCTATAAGTTTAACACTAACATGTCCAAATGTCTGAAGATGAATATTATGAGCAATGCGCAGAAGTAGGTCATAATAAGACGCCATTTTGGTCTTTGCAAATGAAATCGGCCACATTTTAAATAAGTGTAATTAAATATGCGAGGCTGGACATTTTATTATGTTCCGACAAAACTAATCTAAAACCATAAAATTCCCTTTTAGTAGAGGAAATGGCCGCTAGGAGTACCAGGTTTACCACTCCAGCGCCCCCAAAGTAAAGTCATAGCGCCCTCTGCTACAGCATAGAAAAAGTGAACGATTGAGTGACTGGAGATCGAGAGCACCTGTACTTTCCTATTTACGCGAAATATTACTACATTAAGAATTGATTATTATTTTTTTTTCATAAAAATGTTATACAAGGGGGATAATGTTATTCTTACCAAGCTCTAGTCCATCAGAACGTCTTCTATAAGCCCAATTAAATGTTTTTCTCCGACAAGTGAGATTCACACAGACGAATTAAAAATTCAAAATGGCGTCGATTGAGGGAACCTTCAATCACTCTCCTTCGAGTGTGATGTCACCATTCATTTTTAATTTTTTTTTTCAAATAATCTCAACTCTTGAATGTTGATAATTTTGTTTGCAACTTCTGATGGCAAAATTTAAAAAACTGTCTTTTTCTGATACAGTTTGTCGTAAGCTGGATATACTATATATCCTATATGAATCTAGATAGACTAGTAGTAGTAGTAGTAGTGACGAGTGTTCGATTCGTGAAATTTTATCGATCTGTTCATGACATATTCTTACGTTGGCCCATTATTGGGCGTAGTCCGAAAACTACCTACAGATGATAGAAGTATGATAATGGTGATAACCTTGATAACAAGTGTGAAATATTTTTCTGGACAGATCAAGAATCAAGATTTACAGGGTTGGAGCGACCACCTGCCCTGGCGTGTTTCGAATATATTAGCCTATTTGTCAACGAAAGCGAGGGATGGATTTTTCAAAATATAATGAAGAACGGATCACGTAATTTAGAAAGGCCCTACAGTAGACTGCAGTACATGATTTAATGTAAATTTTCACTTTTGAAAGATTAGCCTATCCAATTAAATTAAAATTACCAAGAGGAAACCCTATAAAATGGGAGTGGTAATGTGAAAATGGAACGCAACTCTTGTTTGATTTTCAGACCACAAAAAATATTTATAATTGAACCGATGTAGTCCACTTTTTACGATGTCACAAGCTTTTGAGATAGTAGGTCCTATATTGTGAAATCAATTTGAACACTTTTATATAATTCAAATTTTTGAGATGAAAATTGCATAATGTTCAGATTATATAGCCTAACAAGAATTATACTCGTTCCCACAGTAACGCTGCACCCGTTCCTGAAAAGTTAGCTTATGATATAAGAAATTTGTTAGGTTTGTTAGCTTATATAAAAACTAACAAATCTGTTCTTGGGGACGCCCAAACAAACAAATTCTTTTATTAAAACCTAACAAGTCTTCTGGCCTATCACGACGTTGTATTTTCGGCATTTGTGTATAGCCAAATTAGACTAGGCCTACACGTTTATCTTTTTGTTGGTGTTGAGGGCCTACGTATAAGGCATACTACAGAATGGTGTCAGCTAATTTGCAGTTAAGTGTACTTTTGAGTTATTGCCCTTATGATTAAGCCAAAATAATCTTGAATGGCTGGTATTGACTTTAAGGGACACATTGTACGTACACAATTACAAGTTAAATTAAATTCCCGAGTATGGCTGCATGAATTATTCATAAGCAATGTTTCATTATAGTGAATAAGAAAATTT